ACTCCTCCCACCATATTATGATGTTGCCCAAGTTTTGGGCTCGATCCGAAATCAGTACGTGTAAGAAATTGGACAATTCAAGTTCAAAGGCATTTCGTTCCTAATTGGAGTGGTTGGTGTTTTTGGTAGTTCTAGAGATCGGATTTCACTCAAACTTAACCAAATGACTCCTCCCTCCATATTATGATGTTACCCTAGTTTTGGGCTCGATCCGAAATCAATAGGTGTAAGGAATTGGCCAATCCATGTTCAAAGGCAGTTCGTACCAAGTTGGAGTGGTTGGTGTATTGGGTAGTTCTTGAGATCCGATTTCACTCAAACTTAACCAAATGTCTCCTCCCACCATATTATGAGGTTGCCCAAGTTTTGGGCGCGATATGAAATGAATAGGGGAAAGAAATTGGAAAATTCAAATTGAAAGGCAGTTCGTTCCTAATCGGAGGGGTTGTTGTATTCCATAGTTCTAGAGATCGGATTTCACTCAAGCTTAACCAAATGGCTCCTCCCACCATATTATGAGGTTGCCCAAGTTTTGGGCTCGATCCGAAATCAATAGGTGTAAGAAATTGGACAATTCAAGTTCGAAGGCAGTTTGTTCCTAATTGGAGTGGTTGGTGTATTGGGTAGTTCTTGAGATCCGATTTCACTCAAACTTAACCAAATGACTCCGCCCACTATATTATGTTGTTGCCCAAGTTTTGGGCTCGATCCGAAATCAATAGGTGTAAGAAATTGGACAATTCAGGTTCAAAGGCAGTTCGTTCCAAGTTGGAGTGGTTGGTGTTATGGGTAATTCTAGAAATCGGATTTCACTCAAGCTTAACCAAATGACTCCTCCCACCATATTATGATGTTGCCCAAGTTTTGGGCTCGATCCGAAATCAATAGGTGGAAGAAATTGGACAATTTATGTTCAACGGCAGTTCGTTCCTGATCGGGGTGGTTGGTGTATTCAATAGTTCTAGAGATCGGATTTCACTCAAAACCAACCAACTGACTCCTCCCACCATATTATGATGTTGCCCATGTTTTGGGCTCGATCTGAAATCAATAGGTGTAAGAAATTGGATAATTCAAGTTTAAAGACAGTTCGTTCCTAATTGGAGTGGTTGGTGTTTTGGGTAGTTCTAGAGATCGGATTTGACTCAAACTTAACCAAACACTACAAGAAAAACCACCTTAGTTGACACTATATAGTTGATGTTTTTGTATAAACTGTCAACTATTGTGATATACCTTGACGTTTTTTAAAAAGTGTCAACTATGTACCGCATAACATTGACGTTTATTAAAAAGTGTCAAATAAACCATATGTTACTTGACATTTATGGGAAAACGTCAGGTTTTTATCGCATATTGGTGATGTTGATTAAAAAACGTCAAATAAAACCCAAGATTACCTGACGCTTTTTCTGCTAAAAAAAAGGAAAAAAGGAAAAATAAAGGCAACCTGACGCTTTGGGAACCCTTTAGAAAACTGAGGTCGTATATGAATCAATTTACTGTATTACATTTTCTGCCATAGTCTCTCTCTCTCTTCTAGATCCAGATCTAGATCTGATACGAACAGTCTCTCTCTCTCTCTTCTAGATCCAGATCTAGATCTGATACGAACAATCCTTTTCAGTTTCTATCCCTTCGTATTTTCTCTCACTTTCTTTCTATTCCCTTCGTACCCAACCAGCAAACTATCCTATCTCGTTAGCCAACCAGCCACCATTCTCCAGCCTCCATCCGTAGGGGGATGGGTTATCTACCCACGATACTAAACAACTTTGAGCTAGGACTTTTCTGGGAGACATCTCTTGCATCCTTTAGTTCTGCCATAATTTGGTAAGGTGACAAAAACAGCTATCACAAGGGCGTTGCTGGACCAAAGGCTATGACATCCCTTAGAGCAGTTCGGCGACATCGTCGAGGCCATTGTCACCAGATTATCGCACATATACTTTGAAGATCATCTTTCGTTTCAAAAGCTAAGATTTTTTCAATACCCATCTTTTTTCTATTTCTCTAACAGTCAAATATTTGATGAATTCGATCTAAATTTTGAATGGGTTTGTTTGGGTCAGATTTTTGTAATATTGAATTTGCAAGACCTGCTTGTACGGGACCAAAGCTGTTAGCTAATCTTTGCTCCTCTGGCTAGTTCGCTCACTTTCCCCTTTTATGGTATCTAATCTTCTTCGCAATCTACGTTTCTTATCACTTCCCTTTGTTTTACACACAGTTACTGCGTTTCTTATGCCTAATTTGCTTTGTTTTATACACAATTACTGCTTTTCTTTTGCCTAATTTACTTGAAAAGGGCTGCTTTGATAAATTTATGTATAATGAAACTGAAATCAGTTGCCCAATCCCTCATATGTGTCCATATACATAGGAAGCCCGACTCATTACATCGTGTCTAATGCTTACCAGCCTGGGCTTGTCTACCCTTTCTATGAATATTGTTGAGGCTTGAGAGTTATAATCAATCTGGGTAGACTAAGATCTTTGGGTGTGACTAGTCTTGGTGTTAGAAAGTGAGTTTGACTATGAGTTTTATGATTGCCCGAGCCCTTCTATATGCCTTCACTTCTTCCACAGTGGCCTCAAGGTATGCCACCAAGTTCCCACACAATTATATGTTGCAATTTGTTTCTTTCCTTATTTATTATTCTTTTAAGAAATGAAGGTTTCTATGTTGTTAAAGGTATTTTTTTTTATAAAGAATATTTACATTCAGACGGCTTCATGAATTATTGGCTGACTTGATTACCTACATTCCTTTTTCTGTGCATGGAAGATAAAGAAGTCTGTGGGTATGCAGGTAATGTTATCCACTTTCTGTGATTGAGTTCAAAACTTAATATCAATATAGAATTTCTTTATTTTATATTGATGTCACGTTTTGGTTGTATATGATCATGAACATTCTGAATATACTGGTCCTCATCTTTCTGGGAGGAAATTCTCGTCTTGATTATTGTGTTGTTGCTCACCATGCCCTTCAAATTCATTGGAGGGCATGTCCACTCTTTCGCTTTGGGATGAGGTATGTTATTCACTTGTTTTATTTGGAATTAACAACCTGTTTTGATGATTAAGCCAATGATTTTGTTTTCTTGCTTTTTTGGGAGCTGAATCTCTGTTTTGAGTCTCTTTGCTCTTAGTTTTCTCGTGGATTCCTTATCCACCTTCTATATCATGTTTCTTTTTTCTTTTTAATAGTATCTATGTGCATTATAGCTATATTAGCACTTTAGTGTAATGGACTTGATATTTGGAATGATAATTGGTGATGGTTCTTAATGGACTTGTTTTATATAGAGTTATTGCTTTTCTTATGCCTAATTGCTTTGTTTTATACACAATTACTGCTTTTCTTATGCCTAATTTTCTTGAAAAGGGCTGCTTTAATAAATTTTTGTATAAGGAAACTGAAATCAGTTGCCCAATAATACCTCATATGTGTATATCTACATAGGAAGCCCTGCTCATTACCTCCTCTCTCATGCTTACCATCTTGGGATACTTCTAATATAAACACAAGTTGTGATAGTTACAGAGTGTTTTCTATACTACAGATTTTTTTCTATACTCCTTGCATTGAAACTCTGAACTACTCATGGCTAGAAACATAATATTAAAAGATCATAGAAAATATACATGTTTACTAACAAAAATATATGCAATTCTATAGGTACTTTGTATTGTTACCCATTAAAGATATTGCTTACTTAGAGGCTAATCCAATTAGGTAGCTCAACCTGTGATATTCATGATTAATGGTTTGTAAATTAGATTATAACTGCAATATTGGCTTGTTATTAGTCCTAGTGTAGAGGAGGCTTTCTATTAGAGCTGTGACATAGACTATACAGGATTTTCAAGGTTTCTATTTGAACTATGGTATATATTTTCTAAACCCCATAATATAAGGAAACATATCTTTGTTGTTGGTAAGGGCTGCATCTCAAGGTTGAGCTATTTTTTGTAGTTGACTCAAGGTTGAGCTATTTTTTGTAGCAACATCCTGATTTTCTGTATATTTGTATATTCTTCTTTATGGATGGTGCTCATGACTTGTAAATCTTGTGAAGTAATCAGGATATGTATTTTAGTCTGATTACTATCTAGTTATTAATTGTTGTAGGTTTTAATAACTCATCGATCCATATGTTCATGTTTTGGCAGATTTGTATGAGTACGAAAGGCTCCAACCAAAGCAAGACTTAGACTTATGATGGGCGTTACTTGGAGATGTTACGGGGAAAGTAAAGTTTTTAGGTGACATTATTTGTAGAGAGCTGGGTTTATTTTAGTATGTTTAATTGTAAATGTATTTATACATTTAAGTATATGCTTGTATTTTAAATTATTATATATAGTTGTACTGTTCTAGTGGATTACAATTTCTAATTTGATTTTTATGCATTTCTTTTAATATTAAACTCTACATTGACAGCTTTTGTTGTCAATAAACATTTTTTTTATATTTATTAGATTTTTGTTCTTGACGGCTAATATCTATCAAGAAAGCTCAATTAAAACGTCAACAAACACATTAGTTGACACTTGGAAAGCGTCAGCAATGACCATAAGGTGACACATTTTGCCATCTTGTGACGGTTTTTATTTGTCAGGGAAAACCATTATTTGACGGATAAAAACCGTCAAGTATGTGGGTACACCTTTAGTGATTGGTATTCCTGATGCTTTTTAAGCCGTCAAGAATCTATTTACGTGACACTTTTTAACCGTCAGTAAAGGGTGTTTTTCTTGTAGTGAAATGACTCCTCCCACCATATTATGATGTTGCCCAAGTTTTGGGCTCGATCCGAAATCAATAGGTGTAAGAAATTGGACAATTTATGTTCAAAGACAGTTCGTTCATAATCGGAGTGGTTGGTGTATTCCATAGTTCTGGAGATCGGATTTCACTCAAACTAACCAAATGACTCCGCCCACCATATTATGATGTTGCCCAAGTTTTGGGCTCGATCCGAAATCAATAGGTTTAATAAATTGGACAATTCAAGTTCAAAGGCAGTTCGTTCCTAATTGGGGTGGTTGGTGTTTTGGGTAGTTCTAGAGATCGGATTTCACTCAAACTTAACCAAACGACTCCTCTCACCATATTATGATGTCGCCCAAGTTTTGGGCTCGATCCGAGATCGATAGGTGTAAGAAATTGGACAACTTAAGTTCAAAGGTAGTGCGTTCCTAATCAGACTGGTTGGTATATTCTATAGTTCCAGAGATCGGATTTCAATCAAAACTAACCAAATGACTCCTCCCACCATATTATGATGTTGCTCAATTTTTGGGCTCGATCCGAAATCAGTGGGGGTAAGAAATTGGACAATTCAAGTTCAAAGGCAGTTCGTTCCTAATTGGAGTGGTTGGTGTTTTGGGTAGTTCTAGAGATCGGACTTCCCTAAAACTTAACCAAATGACTCCTTCCACCAGATTATGATGTTGTCCAAGTTTTGGGCTCGATCCGAAATCAATAGGTGTTAGAAATTGGACAATTCAAGTTGAAAGGCAGTTCGTTCCTAATTGGAGTGGTTGGTGTTTTGGGTAGTTCTAGCGATCGGATTTCACTCAAACTTAACCAAATGACTCCTCCCACCATATTATGATGTTGCCCAAGTTTTGGGATCGATCTGAAATAAATAGGGGTAAGAAATTGGACAATTCAAGTTCAAAGGCAGTTCGTTCCTAATTGGAGTGGTTGGTGTTTTGGGTAGTTCTAGAGATCGGATTTCACTCAAACTTAACCAAACGACTCCTCTCACCATATTATGATGTCGCCCAAGTTTTGGGCTCGATCCGAGATCGATAGGTGTAAGAAATTGGACAATTTAAGTTCAAAGGCCGTTCATTCCTAATTGGGGTGGTTTGGTGTATTGGGTAGTTCTAGACATCGGATTTCACTCAAACTTAACCAAATGACTCCTCCCACCATATTATGATGTTGCCCAAGTTCTGGCCTCGATCCGAAACAAATAGGGGTAAGAAATTGGACAATTCGTGTTCAAAGGCAGTTCGTTCCTCATTGGAGTGGTTGGTGTTTTGGGTAGTTCGAGAGATCGGATTTCCCTCAAACTTCACCAAAGGACTCCTCCCACCATATTATGATTTTGCCCAAGTTTTGGGCTCGATCCGAAATCAATAGGTGTAAGAAATTGGACAATTTATGTTCAAAGGCAGTTCGTTCCTAATCGGAGTGGTTGGTGTATTCCATAGTTCTGGAGATCGGATTTCACTCAAACTAACCAAATGACTCCTCCCACCATATTATGATGTTGCCCAAGTTTTGGGCTCGTTCCGAAATCAATAGGTTTAAGAAATTGGACAATTTATGTTCAAAGGCAGTTCGTTCCTAATCGGAGTGGTTGGTGTATTCCATAGTTCTAGAGATCGGATTTCACTCAAACTTAACCAAATGGCACCCCCCACCATATTATGATGTTGCCCAGGTTTTGGGCTCAATCCGAAATCAATAGGTGTAAGAGATTGGACAATTCAAGTTCAAAGGCAATTCTTTCCTAATTGGAGTGGTTGGTGTTTTGGGTAGTTCTAGAGATTGGATTTCACTCAAACTTAACGAAATGACTCCTCCCACCATGTTATGATGTTGCTCAAGTTTTGTGCTCGATCCGAAATCAATAGGGGTAAGAAATTGGAGAATTCAAGTTCACAGGCAGTTCGTTCGTCATTGGAGTGGTTGGTGTTTTGGGTAGTTCTAGAGATCGGATTTCCCTCGAACTTAACCAAATGACTCCTCCCACCATATTATGATGTTGCCCAAGTTTTGGGCTCGATCCGAAATCAATGGGTGTAAGAAATTGGACAATCCAAGTTCAAAGGCCGTTCGTTCCTAATTGGACTGGTTGGTGTTTTGGGTAGTTCTAGAGATCGGATTTCACTCAAACTTAACCAAATGACTCCTCCCACCATATTATAATGCTGCCCAAGTTTTGGGCTCGATCCGAAATCAATATGTGTAAGAAATTGTACAAATCAAGATCAAAGGCAGTTCGTTCCTAATTGGAGTGGTTGGTGTTTTGGGTAGTTCTACAGATTGGATTTCCCGCAAACTTAACCAAATGACTCCTCCCACCACATTATGATGTTGCCCCAGTTTTGGGCTCGATCCGAAATCAATAGGTGTACGAAATTGGACAATTCATGTTCAAAGGCAAATCTTTCTTAATTGGTGTGGTTGGTGTTTTGGGTAGTTCTAGAGATCGGATTTCACCCAAACTTAACCAAATGACTCCTCCCACCATATTATGATGTTGCCAAAGTTTTGGGCTCGATCCGAAATCAATAGGTGTAAGAAATTGGACAATTCAAGTTCAAAGGCCGTTCGTTCCTAATTGGAGTGCTTGGTGTTTTGGGTAGTTCTAGAGATCGGATTTCACCCAAACTTAACCAAATGACTCCTCCCACCATATTATGACGTTGCCCAAGTTTTGGGCTCGATCCGAAATCAATGGGTGTAAGAAATTGGACAATTCAAGTTCAAAGGCAGTTCGTTCCTATTTGGAGTGGTTAGTGTATTGGGTAGTTCTAGTGATCGGATTTCACTCAAACTTAACCAAATGACTCCTCCCACCATATTATGACGTTGCCCAAGTTTTGGGCTCGATCCGAAATCAATAGGTGTAAGAAATTGAACAATTCAAGTTGAATGGCAATTCGTTCCTAATTGGGGTGGTTGGTGCGTTGGGTTGTTCTAGGGATTGGATTTCACTCAAAATTAACCAAATGACTCCTCCCACCATATTATGACGTTGCCCAATTTTTGGGCTCGATCCGAAATCAATAGGTGTAAGAAATTGGACAATTTATGTTCATAGGCAGTTCGTTCCTAATCGGAGTGATTGTTGTATTCCATAGTTCTAGAGATCGGATTTCACTCAAAACTAACCAAATGACTCCTCCCACCATATTATTATGTTGCCCAAGATTTTGTTGGGTTGTTCTAGGGATTGGATTTCACTCAAAATTAACCAAATGACTCCTCCCACCATATTATGACGTTGCCCAAGTTTTGGGCTCGATCCGAAATCAAAAGGGGTAAGAAACTGGACAATTTAAGTTCAAAGGCAGTTCGTTCCTAATCGGAGTGGTTGGGGTATTCCATAGTTCTAGAGATCGGATTTCACTCAAACTTAACCAAATGACTCCTCCCACCATATTATGATGTTGCCCAAGTTTTGGGCTCGATCTGAAATCAATAGTGTAAGAAATTGGACAATTCAAGTTCAAAGGCAGTTCGTTCCTAATTGGAGTGGTTGGTGTTTTGGGTAGTTCTAGAGATCGGATTTCACTCAAACTTAACCAAATGACTCCTCCCACCATATTATGATGTTGCCCAAGTTTTGGGCTCGATCTGAAATCAATAGTGTAAGAAATTGGACAATTCAAGTTCAAAGGCAGTTCGTTCCTAATTGGAGTGGTTGGTGTTTTGGGTAGTTCTAGAGATCGGATTTCACTCAAACTTAACCAAATGACTCCTCCCACCATATTATGATGTTGCCCAAGTTTTGGGCTCGATCTGAAATCAATAGTGTAAGAAATTGGACAATTCAAGTTCAAAGGCAGTTCGTTCCTAATTGGAGTGGTTGGTGTTTTGGGTAGTTCTAGAGATCGGATTTCACTCAAACTTAACCAAATGACTCCTCCCACCATATTATGATGTTGCCCAAGTTTTGGGCTCGATCTGAAATCAATAGTGTAAGAAATTGGACAATTCAAGTTCAAAGGCAGTTCGTTCCTAATTGGAGTGGTTGGTGTTTTGGGTAGTTCTAGAGATCGGATTTCACTCAAACTTAACCAAATGACTCCTCCCACCATATTATGATGTTGCCCAAGTTTTGGGCTCGATCTGAAATCAATAGTGTAAGAAATTGGACAATTCAAGTTCAAAGGCAGTTCGTTCCTAATTGGAGTGGTTGGTGTTTTGGGTAGTTCTAGAGATCGGATTTCACTCAAACTTAACCAAATGACTCCTCCCACCATATTATGATGTTGCCCAAGTTTTGGGCTCGATCTGAAATCAATAGTGTAAGAAATTGGACAATTCAAGTTCAAAGGCAGTTCGTTCCTAATTGGAGTGGTTGGTGTTTTGGGTAGTTCTAGAGATCGGATTTCACTCAAACTTAACCAAATGGCTCCTCCCACCATATTATGGTGTTGCCCAGGTTTTAGGCTCGATCCGAAATCAATAGGGGTAAGAAATTGGACAATTCAAGTTCAAAGGCAAGTCTTTCCTAATTGGAGTGGTTGGTGTTTTGGGTAGTTCTAGAGATTGGATTTCCCTCAAAATTAACCAAATGACTACTCCCACCACATTACGATGTTGCCCCA